CATTAAATATTTTTGTCATGTAATGGACAGTTAAACTTTATTTTTTGCTGTATTTTTGTTACGTTTTATTTTTGTTTTTATAACAGTAATATAAAATTTATATTAAAGCATTTACTAAGAATATTGTTTTATTTTATATTGCCCTATACTTCTACATTATTTAAATATTCTTTGCTAAACATTGTAAGCCGTGCATCTCAATACAGCCTACAAAATTTGCTATGCATTTACATACACTTAAGTGATCAATTTTCTGTTTGCGCAGCCAGATTTAGAAAAAAATTTTAGAACGCTTTTGGTAATATTTTTACTGCCTGGAAAATAAACCGCATATGAAAATAAAAAGTATACACCTGTATGCTCCAAAAAGCATTTTTTAATTCTATTTTTTAGATGATGTTAAATATCTGCATGAAAAGAATGATACAAATATATGAAAAGTAAATTAATGCACAAGCTTTCAAAATGTAAAATGAACTAATTATAGGCATCTTGTATATATTAAATGAATGAATGCAGTCATTAATTTAATTAATATATTGAATTAATTCAAAATAGATAATACATTATAGGGTATCTGACTAATTTCATCAAGATTATTATTTATCCTGCTAGTAAAAAAAAAAACCTTATGAATATATTGCTCCCTGGTCATGTGATTGGTTCATGTTATTCATTTGCTGTTTTTCTCTTCTTCCAACACTAGGACTGTTATGTGACTGTTTGGAGGCAGACCCTCCTTAACCCCTTCACTCCTAAGGGTAAAACAAATCTAAATGCCTAAGCACAATTTTGCAATGTTGACATGTGTTAGTAAAACCGTACATATCATCACAACTACTTTGTACATCCAGGTGAATTATACAGCGTTTTTTTCAGGACAAATTGGGCTTTCATTTGATGGTAAATGGTAATGGATATCTCCTGATTTTTTTTTATTATCAAAGGAAAACTGGCCCTAAATTGTAAAAAAAATATTTTTTTTTTAGCTGTGTGTTTCTTGTTACTACCATAACCTACCATCAAAGAAAAATCCAAAATAAATTCTCCAGCTCTTGATGATCGCAGCGATACCATATATGTGTACGTTATTTGTTGTTTGTACCCGTAGTAAAGCCCAGAAACAATAGTGCACATTTTGTTTTTGTTTTTGTTTTTATACCTAAAACACACTGACACTAACTAATAGCAAATTATTTTTAAATCCTGACCTTTGACCCTGACCTTTTTTTTTTTTTTTTTTTTTTTACTTTGACCTTTGACCCTGACCTTGACCCAAACACTTACCCTGGCACTGAACTAGATCAAACCTTGATCTAGGTATTTTTTATTTTATTTTTTAATATTTATTTATCTTTTTTTTTTCCCCCTCTATGACAGGAGTTAGAGAGATACAATGTATCTCTCTCCTTCATTCATAGAGAGAAAAAAAAAAACAAGGGGACCGGGCTGTACAGTGACTGATCACTGTGATAGCCAATCAGAGGGGACCCGGTGCTCGCAGTGACACCGCGGTCTTTGTTCTGGGAGTGACCTGTGCAGCACGCTCCCAGCACAAAGTCAGGTACACAAATATGAGGCCCCACAGAAAAAAAGCCCAGTTCTGTGAGGACGCATTTGTGTTACTTCGGCGTCAAGGGGTTAACTTACAGAAGCAGAAATGAATTGGAATTTGAAGTGTAACTCCACTTTTGTTGACAAAAAAAACATTCCCCTCTGGGTGATCCAGATAGATTGCAAAGATTTTAATAACTTTTGTTGCAGAGTCCTACATTTTTTTTTATTCTGAAGAAAGAGCTATTTGTCTCTATCCATGTGGAAAGTGAATCTAATGGGAGTGTTTTTTTAATTACCAGTCAGCTGCTGCACCTCAGAGCTCTAACAGGGAAATTGTAGGGTCTGCATCCCTTTAAACGTGATTTCCTAATGGGAGTAGATCAGCAAAAATGATATTTTTATTTGCAGGGGATGCCTAAAATCTGACTTCAGACTTTTGAGAAAATCAGTGAGCCAATCACACAAGCTGGAAATGATGGGAGTGTCCTGTACACATTCTGTATACAGAACATCTCCAGGTAACCATATTGCATTACATTTTACAGAATATGACAGCGCTGCAGATTGAAAAGAAGTCATTTTTAATGACATTCAATTACAATATGACTTGTGTCGCAATTGTATATGTATATGCTATATTATTTTTTGGTTTTAGTTACTGTTTTTTTTTCCCCCCACGAAAGTTTTAAGGTGTGCATTTTTTCCAAACAGTCATACGAGCGATCTTCACATGAGCAAAAGGATCGCTAAGAGACTGCTGATCTGTTTCTATGGAAGCGCTGCCTTGCTAACTGTATCAACAAGATGTTGCTCTGTTTTTGGCCCTATGCTAATGAGGGCGATCCAGATGGCCTTCCATGCTAACAAGGTAGTGATTCCATAAAATCCTTGCACTCTTACACACTTCGATAAGATTTTTTTTTTTTTATTTACTTACGCTTGGGGATATGCTTGAATTTGGTTATGGATTGGTCCAACAGCCTCATTTTGCAGGTAAGCTGTTGAAAGAATGCTTTATGACATTTATTTGGCTCCTCCAAGATGGCTTCCAGAGTTCACAGGAAGTCCTGGTTGTGTAATAGAAATGTCAGCCTGCAGCTGCTTGTGTCTTTTCAAAATGGCTGAAGTTCAACAAGACCCACAACCCAATGGGATTAAATCATTAAAGTTCATCTAAGAGCAAAACTTAACTTCCCAACCATCCAGCACATTTTTTTTCTTTGTGAAGCATGTTATAGTTGCCTAGGTCCTCCATCTGTGTCCTTCGCCTGCGCCGTTTTGAGGTGTCGATGACTGGTAATCAGCAATGTCAATGTCAAAAAACTTATTTCTACTTAAACCAGCGCAAAACCCACAAAGCAATATAAATAAATAAATAACCCAGCCCATAAATAATATTAATCAAAATACATTGTGACACATAAAAAATAGTAATAATTAAATTGATTTAAACATTTTTTTGAAAAATGAAAATACAGTTTTTTCACAGGACTGTTTTTTGAATTTGTCACTGATTTTTTTTCAAAATTTTTTTTAAATCACTTTAATTATTAGTATTTTTTATGTGCACAATGTATTTTGATTAATATTATTTATGGGCTGGGTTATTTATTTATTTATATTGCTTTGTGGGTTTTGCGCTGGTTTAAGTAGAAATAAGTTTTTTGGTTTTGCACCTGTGTACAGCAGCATCTCACGGGGAATAGTGTGTGGGGGGCAAGGGAGTCCTGGGTGCTGAGGTTTTTTCTTTCTCTACAGCAATGTCAATGTGCCCATGTCAGCCAGTCTGCAACAGTCCCCTTTTGCTGAGTTACTACTCAGACTCCTCTTCTGAACTCTGGGAGGACCCCCTCACAGGACATTCAATTGGGGTTCTGCATGACGTGGAACATATTTGGTCATAATGTCTGTCCAGCCAAAACTTTTATTCTATGTGATGGATAGAGTAGGGAAGGATTAGAGCCCCAACCATGTTTTTACTTCTACCCACAGGCTTGGTTAAAGGGATTTCCTCATAGTGCCAGATTTTTTTAAGGGGTCAAAAGGGACAATTGCCCTGGGCCCCCCTGCCAGAGGGGGGCCTCAGACTTCCTTTGTAAAAAAAAAAAAATTAATAATCCCATCATGTGGGAGTGAAGTTAATGACCAGCATCGATTTATTGCAGTGAAAAACATGAAAAAGACACTCCCTCCCCTCTTGACCCTAATTGGATGAAGGGGTGAATCCGACACTCCATGATCTCGAATACAACTTTGTGAGCAAGTTTTACCAAAAATTAAGAGATTGGTCAAACTTTGGACAGGTGTGGCCCCAGATCGGAATTCAGCCAGAATGACATAGCAGAGTGTCAGATGAAATCGGCAGAGAGTAGAGGACTTTCCTTCCGTACGTGTCTTGCCCTGAGTGTAGTAGTAAAGTTACCTCCAGTGAGTTTTTTCTGTGTCCTGAATGCTTCAGCCAGACTTACCACAAGTTATTTTCCATTTCCCAAACCTTTCAGCCTGTGGATCCATATATGTCACCTTCTGTGCTGCTGTCAATGGCATCCACTCAGTAAAAAGAGATTTTGCCATAATCCTTGGAAAGAGCTCACCCTGTCATCTCAGGAATACCATATATTGTTAACTCTTTCTCTCTGTGGGCTTGTGAACATTGAGGGCCCCCCAAACATGAAGTGCCCCAGGCCCCCCAAGGTCTAAGTCCCCTCCCTTACCTGTCCCAATGACAATAATATCACCAGAGAAGAAGAGAGGCAAAATATCCAAAAACAACACATATAAACAATTTTTTTTGGAGAGTAGAGCAAGGCTAGATCACCAGTAAGCCTTTAACTGCTGTTTTTGTCCTTGTTGCTGATTTTCCCTCACTTCCTGTTGTCATGTGGACCGAAATTAAGGGAGAGTTCTATAATGGAGCCCTGGATAGCAATAACAACCTAACCAGCTAGTTGCTTTTTAATGAATGCAAGGTGCTCTCTGATTGGAGGAGGGGAGATTTTTATATTCATCCACCCCTTCCAATCAGGGAGCACCTTGCATTTGTTAAAGTGTTACTAAATTAACAGTAAAATCAGTCTGTATATGCAGTAAAGCATGCTGATTATACTCACTGTGGAACCTAAGGGGCTAATCCTCTGCATTATGTAAAAAGGCTGTTTGATCCTGTCTTCTCTGATCCTCCCCTTCTTCTACTGTCCCCAATCCATCTGCTGATAGAACAGAGCCTCGGGGGCAAGCTGAACATGCTCAGGTTGCTGTGTATTGCTAGAGAGTTTTTTTTTTCTTGGGAGAGTGCATGTGATCCGCACAGGGCCAATTAGCACTGTCCAGCTGGAGAGTCAAGATTATGCAGTCTCATAGGACAATCGGGGGAGAATGAAAACTCCTCCTACAAGCTTTAACCAGTGCTCTGCTGGACACTGATATAAGTCACAAAACTGCTTTCACTGCTGATGTGAAAAGGAATTTAGTGGTTTATATTTACTAAAATAATTGCATTTCCATGTTGTGTGTACTGTGGGAGACCAGATATAGTGAATGCAGGGTCTGGGGAGACCAGATATAGTGAATGCAGGGTCTGGGGAGACCAGATATAGTGAATGCAGGGTCCGGGGAGACCAGATTTAGTGAATGCAGGGTCCAGGGAGACCAGATATAGTGAATGCAGGGTCCGGGGAGAGGGGATATAGTGACTGCAGGGTCCGGGGAGACCAGATATAGTAAATGCGGGGAGACCAGATATAGTGAATGCAGGGTCCGGGGAGACCAGATATATGAATGCAGGGTGATAAGTGAATGCAGGGCAGGAGTCCAGATATAGGAATGCAGGGTCCAGACCAGATATAGTGAATGCAGGGTCCGGGGAGACAGATATAGTGATGCAGGGTATAGTGAATGCAGGGTCCAGGGGTGAATACAGGTCCGAGGGGTTTAGGGTCCGAGGAATCAGATATAGTGAATGCAGGGTCCGAGGAGACCAGATATAGTGAATGCATGATATAGTGAATTACAGATATAGTGAATGCAGGGTCTGGGTTTAGTAACATTTTAAGGAATGCATGGTTTACTAATTGGTGCTGGAGTGCAAGTGACCTGCTGTGATCTGAGTAATCCAGGTGGAACTGTACATAAAACTGCAGCCTAGGCATATGGGACACACTTCATTAGTGCAGAGTTAGGGCTCAAGCACACTGCTGCGTTTTTTTTTCCAAAGCCCGTGAACACACCTCAATAAAAGCCTATGCGTCCATGCACAAGTTTAGGAGCAGCAGCGCTTACAGGCAGTAAAATGCTGCTCTCCTGAATGCAGAAGAATCAAATTCAGGTGCTGAGAGTTTTGGTAGAAAAACGCTTCATGAGGCAAAACCGCTAGTAAGCATTTCTAAATGTGCATTTACAATGGACACGTTTGGTGCTTGAGAGTTAAAAGAGAAGTTTGGGGTCATTTTTTTTCTGAAATCATACTTGCCTAGGTGAATGCAGCCTTCCGATGCTTCATCTTTCCCCCGCTGGCTCTGTGTGAGAACTCGGAGATCACATGACCGCTAATCGCTGAGTTCTCACCACCACTGTGAGCAGAGAGCAGTGACTGTCAGTCGTCGTTGTCTGCTCTGCCCCTCCCCCTCTCCAGTGCTTGCTGGAACGCTGGGCTGTGGAGGGGGAGGAAGCGGCTGGCTCAGGCTCCCAGCAGCTCGCTGAGAGGCTGAGCCAGGTGCCGCTCCAGACTCTGGGGTGGATCCTGACTTTAAAGTCGGGCTCTTTCCCCAGCTGGACTGGCTGAGCTTGCTGAGAGGCTGAGCCAGGTGCCGCTGACTGACTTTAAGTCGGGCTCTTTCCCCAGCCTGGACTGGCTCCCAGCTCTTTCCCCAGCCTGGACTTCCCAGCAGCTTGCTGAGAGGCTGAGCCAGGTGCCGCTCCAGACTCTGGGGTGGATCTCGACTTTAAAGTCGGGCTCTTTCCCCAGCCTGGACTGGCTGAGTGATGTCAGCCTTCAGCCCGCTGTCAGTTGAAAACGAGTCACAGGAGTGCAGAACGAACAGCACTCCTGTGATCCGCAGCTTTGGCTGTACTTCTCCTTTAATTCATTTCAGTGGCCAGAATAAATTATTATTCTGGCCAATGAAATGAATTAACACCCAAGAGCTCTACTCGGCCTAAAGCGGCACACATTTTCAAGTGTCAAGCATTTTTCAGGAGAAAGGTGTCCATGGTGCATGAATCCTTATTTTTACAGTGCACATGATAGGAAGTATGGGTACCACCTTCTCTGGGAAAAAAAAAAAAGTACAAGCCTTCCTATTTCTTTTCTATTGATAATATTGGCAAGGCAGGTGGCAACTCAATAGTAAGAGACCTAAATGAAACCCATGTTAACATGGTAAATAAATACCTCCATAGAGACAGTGCCCCTAGTGGGCATTGAATTCAGGACCCCAGCACAGAAAGTCCCCAGTGGTGATCAGTAAGTTTCCCAACGTATGTTTACGGAACAATATATTATTGTTTGAGGCGCCAAGCAAAAACAAACATTAATTGCTTAATTGTGGAGTCTTTTTTTTATTATTATTGGTTCGGCAACACCTCTGTATTCTGGAGTAAATCTTATTTCAATAGAAATATTCTATGAAGCAGTTTTTATACTAGTTTTGTGAGCTGTGTATTATATTAGAGTCTGGAGCAGCATCACAGCTTCAGATTGCACTTAGTGATCAAAGCAAAGTTTCCCCATGAGAAACAATATTATAATGCAAAAGGGTTCCTGCTAATTTCAGGCATCTTATCTGTGGTTAACAGAATCTGAAAAGCCACCTTCGGGTCATATTCACTAAACCTCATTAGTGAGTATTTAGTATTCTGTATAAACATGCCATTGACTCATTAATTTTTTGAAGAAAATAGATGTCTAAATCCCAAATGTTTGGCTGTTATTTTCTTTGTTTATAATTATTTTATTTTATTGCATTTAATGTGACATTTCTACGTTGATTCGATACATTAATGGGGTTGTTATCCTTTGGGGTTATCTTCTGTTAAAGTTTTTTTTTATTTGTATATTTAATTAATAGTTTAAGGGGTAACTCCACTTTTGTGGGATAAAAATAGCAAATAGAAAAAAAAACATATTGTGACACAAGTCATATTGTAATTGAATGCTATTAAACATTGCCTTTCCTATTCAATATGCAGCGCTGTTCTGTAAAATGCAATATGCCAACCTGGAGGAGTTCTGTGCACAGTTGGTGTACTGAACACCCCCTCAGAAATGTCATTTCCTGCTTGAGTGATTGGCTCACTGATTTTCCCAGAAATCTCACTAAGATACAAGTCGGAGTTTGGGCATCCCCTGTAATAATAATGTCCTTTTGGTGAGGTACTACCAAAGGGCAATCATGTCTAAAGAGACGCAGACCCCACCAATTTCCTCCTTAGAACCCTGCAAGTGCAGTAGCTGATTAATAATTATAAAATCACTCTGCATGTGGACACAGACAAACAGCTATTTCTGCAGAATAACAAAAGGTAGGAATCTGCAACAAAGTTCGTTAAAAACCTTGCAATGTCCATAGATCTCCCAGAGGGGATTATTTTTTCTCAACAAAAGTGGCATTACTCTTTAAGTTCTTGACCTTTTGCTCTATTCTACAATGCTTCTATTTTTCATTTTGGTAAAATAGTAGGAATATTTTACCACTCTGAACTTTTTTAAAGCCCAACACCATTCAAAACTTTTTTTTTTACTTGTGGATCGGGAAGGTTTATATTGCTATCTACATCCCAGCTTGGGAGATTTCACCTCATTTTTGTGCCAGGGCCTACAGAAGTAAGAAGATCTCCCCTGAACAGGGACAGGGAATGAACAAATAACATAACAGAGGTTCTCATACTCCCTACTCTGCTTTAAGAAAGGCCTGGGTTCTTTCCTAGATACACATAAAACATTTTTTAAAGCAATGTACTAAGCTGGCCAGAACCAACTCTTGAGGGAGTTGAAAAACCACAGCAAAGCATGATCCAATTTGCTCCTGGAGGGGAACAAATTCTTTCCTGATCCCCCGAGAGACAATGGGATATTCCCTGGATTAACGTTACCCATAAATGTTAGTATCCAGTTATTTTATGTGTATCTAGGAAAGAATCCAGGCCTTTTTTTAAAGCAATCCATTGAGCTGGCCAGAACCAACTCTTGAGGGAGTCTATTCCACAATTTCACAGCTCTTACTGTGAAGAAACATTTCCGTATTTGGAGATTAAATCTCTTTTCCTCCAGATGTAAAGAGTGCCCCCTTGTCCTCTGTGATGACCTCAGTGTGAATAACTCTACACCGAGTTTGCTCTATGGACCGCCTATGTTTTTATACATGTTGATCATATCCCCCTTTAATTTCCTCTTCTCAAGAGAGAATATGTTAAGTTCCTCCACTCCATGCTCATAACTGAGCTCCTCCATGCCTCTTATCAGTTTGGTTGGCCTTCTCTTCACTTTCTCCAGTTCCCCAATGTTCTTTTTGTGAATTGGTGCCCAAAACTGAATTGCATATTCCAGATGAGATATTACTAATGATTTGTACCGGGGAAAATGATATCTCTCTCTCTGGAGTCTATACCTCTTTAATGCAAAAGAGGATTTTGCTTGATTTGTAAACCACAGCTTGGCATTGCATGCCATTATTAAGTTTGTGATCTACCAGAACTTCCAGATCCTTCTCCACAATTGGTTCCCCCAGTTGTACTCCCCCTAGTATGTATGTGATGCATGCGTATCCTTAGCCCCCAAGTGCATACCCTTACATTTATCAACATTAAACCTCATATGTCCACAGTTGCCTAATTAAACAGTGCGTTGAGGTCGGCTTGTAAGTTGGAGACATCCTATAAGGACGTTATTCCACTGCACAGCTTGGTGTCATCTGCAGAGATTGAAATGGCACTTTTAATGCCAGGCCCTATATCATTTATAAATATATTAAAAAGTAAAGATCCCAACACTGAACCTTGGGGTACACCACTAACAACCCTAGACCATTCAGAGTATGGATCACTAACCAGTACTCTACAATCTTTTAGCTGGTTTTCTATCCAATTACATACGGATTTTTTCAAGCCTGTAGACTTTTCCTTACACATTAGCTGTGTGTGTTAAAAGCTTTTGCAAAATCCAAGTACACTACGCCCATGGCCATCCCTCTGTCCAAGGTTTTGCTTACCTCCTCATAAAAAGAAATCAGATTTGTTTGACAACTTCTGTCTTTCATGAATCCATGCTTTCTGTTTCTTAAAATATTTTTATCCCATCTCATCTATGTGGTATTTTATTAAACTCTCCAGTATCTTCCCAACTATCGAAGTTAAACTAACCAGTTTTGTTGTTACTTGGTAAAGACTTTGATCCCTTTTTAAATATAGGCACCACAAAGAGTCCCTAAAAATTATAATCAATGGCTTTGAGCTCAATTATTTTAGGATCCGTGGTTATATACCATCTAGTCCAAGTGCTTTATTCAAATGTATTGTGTCTAAATATTTCTGGACCATATCAGTTGTGAGCCATTGTGGATCATTTGGGGCTGTGTCAATACCATGTCCATTATGGACATGAGCTCTCCCATGTTCATTTGTATACACAGAGCTGAAGAAGATATTTTATTCATTTGCCTTCTCTTTGTCCCCAGTCACACACTCTAAATAAATTTGTAAAGGGCCTACATGCTCAGACTGATCTTTTACTATTAATATATTTGAAGAATTTTTGGGGGTTTGTCCTGCTATCTTATGTTCTTTTATCTGAACATTAGTAATAAGTTCTGCATGGTTTGAGATTACCAGGTCCAGAAGAGCATCATTCCTAGTTGGGGCCTCTATGAACTGTACGATGAATTGTCCTGTAATTAGTTTATACATTTTTGCCCTTTAACTGTTCCTGCAGTGCCATTACTCCAGTCAGTTTCCGGGTAGTTCAAATCTCCCATTATTAACACTGTGGCAGCCCTTGCAGCCCTTTTGATCACTGCAAGGAGCGGATTCTCCTCCTCCTTTTTAACA